ACCCCTCAACAAAGGCATAAGATCCACAGAGCACCTTTCTAAAGTTATTATGCAAAGTTTGCAAAAGTGGGTTCTTCCATGGCGAAAAAGTAGCAACGCAATCATGCAAGATCTACATGGCAACAATGTCCTTTTCCGCGTGCTCGCTGCAAAGAAACCTAACATTCAAAGCACTTGCCACTGGAAATGACAAGCCGCAAGGATTATCAATGCCCTCCTAACTACCAGGCTGTTGTCAGTCATGCCTTTTGGGCCTTCTGATCACAATGTGCATCATATCTTGAATCTTGACTGTTCTTGACTTTGGCGCTAAGGGCGGTCCCAAACCCTCCAACAAAAACAACCTCGTTGGCTTTTTTGCTTCGTCCAATCCACATCGGTGGTGGCGCACTGCTGCTGATGGATGTCCCGAATTCTTGGCCATTCCCTTAATACAGATTAACAAGTTTGGGGGCCTATCAGCACTCAACTTAGGTGCTGAGAGTATGATACGAGTGAAACAAGTATTCTCGTGGATTGTACAGGGGTGGCGATCGTGCTCAACTGCCACTCTTTCCACAGCGCTATGTGCGTAGCAGGGATTGGAGGGGTCCTGATTTCAGGAACGCTTTGGGCCGCCGCTAGTTGGGAACTACAAATGCTCCTCAGCTGTCAGCGCCAAAACGTCATGGAATTGGATTGCCCTGACAGCATTGGGGTTAACGGCATAAACAATGCGCCATCACCACAATCTCCAGCCGAGCCAACACAGAGCCAATTCGCAAGCAAACTGCCGAACACATGATGGGCCTGCTATGCAAACCGTACCTGCGCACCACTGTCAGGAAGCATATATCTTAAGAAAGCCCCAGGCAACCTAGGACCATCTGTGTCTCCACACATGCGTGTACTTCTCACTAGCACCTAGCATGCAGCAGAACTGTGAGACTGGACAACCCTGAGAAACGCGAAGCCTTGAGGTGCAAGGTGTTTGGATGCAAAGCCCCAGCAACTCCCTGAAGAAGGGAGCCCAGCATGGACCGCCGAATGCCTAACACACCACTCCAAACTGTAGCGCAAGAGACGACTGCCGAGTACCTGGGAAAACATGCAGACAAGGGGGTTCGCAAGAACCCAGGCAAGAGGGGCAAGCCGCCCTAACTCATGCAGCAACGGCCAGAACTTGGCGGCCTACATACTAACCAAGTCGTCTCAAGCTCTCTGGCCTGCCTGCCAGCAGCAACTGCCGCCAGTCCAGGCTCCTGTGAGCACTCACTCAGAGAGGCCACGCCAAAATTCCGGATAAGCCTGCTAGCCCCGCGACAACTTATCGGCCCACTGATTCGTCACCAAGGTTGTCGCAAAACTGCCTAACCACAACGCGGCCAGAAATGGCGACCATCCCATCCTGAGGGCTTAGGGCTGCAGGTCTCGGTTTCCCTGCACCCTGAGATCAGAAGCACGGGATCTGAAGAAGCATGAAGCTCAAGGCCTAGGCTTCAGGCTCTAGGGTGCAGGGTTCAGTTCTTGGGGGGGCATCAGCAGACAGATTGGCAAAGGACAATGCAGCTGCGAATCACCAAACTTGCAAGCTTCAAAACTCGGCCCCGATACTTTAAGGTCCCTAAAACAGGTAAACAACCCTAAGAAAGCCGTACAGAACTCTTCTAGAACCCGTACGCAAAGTTTATCAAACATCAAGACTTATAGACTCTATGATCAGCGCAAATCCTCCGGCCTTCTGTCCGTCAGGTCCTATCGATGAGGAGACTTGCCGCAGGAGCTCGCCGATCCCGCGGCGGCTGGATATGCGTAAAGAGAGCCCTGGGATCTCCGCGGATGGCTTTGGTCTTTAGGGTTTAGGATTTAGGGTTTAGCATTTGGAGCTTAAGGATCTGGGGTTTCGGGGTTTGTGGTTGCTTTCGGGGTTGGGGCTTTGAGGGCTTTGGGTTTTCTGCGTTGTGGGCTTTGGTTTAGCATTTGGGATCTGAGGCTTAGGGTTCGGGGTTGAATCCTTTTTTAAGTTTTGAAGGGTTGTGGCTTAGGTTGGGGGATGATGGGAATTCAGGGTTTGATCTTGGCAACCCGCAGAAAAGACCGGAACCTCGATCGTAGGGATGGAAGGAATCATGCATGGAGAAGCTTGGTTATGAAGTGCAAGTGAGAACACAGCGCAGGTTGAGGTGTTTGGAACTTGTCATGGACACTGCCTTGTCTGCCATAGATCACGACTTGGGGTTTATTTTCGTGAGTAGATATTCCTTACAGAGTTTTGGCCCAGGAAGTTTGGAAGTTAGGGGGTTTGGTTTGGGGGTTGGGGGCTGGCATTTAGGAAGGCTGGTGATGGTTGACTGTTGGGATATTCATGGTCTAGGGTGTAGAGCTTGAGTTTGGGGCGGGGGTTCAATAGGATGCACGGTTGAGAGCTTGCAGCCCAGGGCTGAACCCCACGTTGATGGATATTCAGGGCTTGGAGTCTATTGCTGAATGTGCCTTGAAGGGTGTAGTACTGGGATGGCCTCTAAAAGCCTTCTCACAAATGTTACCAAATTCTGCTCCCCTCAAACCCACTGAGGGAAAGTACGGTATATCTCAAGGTAGCAGCTAGAGTAAGGGTTTAAGGGTCCAAGAACATGCCCGCATGGCCGTGAAAGAGACTGCGACCTCATGGGTGCGCTTCATCTCCTCCAGCTGCTTCTCCAGCTCCCTCGGCTGGTCAAGTTGCGGTGAGGGGGGGCGGGCGGGGGGTTGGGGGGGCTGTAGGGTTTATTTAGAGGAGTAATTATGGGGGTCTGCAGGGTTTAGGTTTGGGGCTTTAGGGTTCGAGGGCTCCGAGCGTGTTGGGGTTTAGGCTTCAGGTTTTTCGGCGGGGAAGCTGGAATCAGTTGGGGTGAAATGGGTTTATAGAAATATCAGTTTATGGTAATCCTGCAGACCTCAAACACCAAAACCCCTAAAACAAAATCCCAGACTCGCAGTGCGCACCTCATAAATGAAGACGGTAGGGGCAGCCACGATCCCAAGCCCAGAACTGCCCTAAACCCTGAACCCTAGAGACCCTCAACACTCAACCCTAACCTGACAGCAGTGGGCCGCCGCGCTCGATGCGTTTCCTGTCCTGCCCTGCGCTGGCCCCCTGCAGTGAAACAACTTTTGATGCACGATGCACACACAAACAAAAACACACAGATCCACAACTGCAAATATGTTTTACACCTTAAGCTCCCGGCCTCATCCTCGTGGCTCCGGCGGACAGCCTCAAATGAGTCTACGGCCGAGGGATCCAGCCCACACTTAAACTCATCTCATCATTCTGGGAGGTAGACACCAGATGCATAACATGAGAGCTCCCAGCAGGAATCACGTCTGTACCCATGGGCTAAATTTAAGCTTCCCAAAATGAGATGTCGTCAAGCTCAGCACGACGCTTGTGAGCTAAACCCTAACAGCCCGAGATGAGTCGAAGTAGCAAAAGTACACCAGGGCCCAGGCTTGCCATAGCCGCGGCACCTGGAGCGGTGACGCCTTCGCAGGACGTATCAAGGTATCGTGGACAAGCTTGGCACGAAGAAAAGGAGAAAAGGGGGGGGGCTTGCGGATGTCGCAGGGCTTTCTTGATGGGATGCTTGCAGACGGAAGAAATCGGTCGTCGCTGGGCTTCCAAAATTCAAGGCTTCGCGCTGAGCCTTGAATGTGAAGCGGCGAGCGCTGTCATGCACGTACCGTCCTAACCCAAAAGGAACCCCTGACAAATCGAAACTGTCAAGGCTTAGGACCCTTTTGCTTGCGACCAAACAAGTACAACAATCCCAGTGCTCAATCGGATAAACGCAGGAAGTCGATCTGAAGGCCCCGTGTTATACGCTCCCGACCCGAAACCCTCAGTCTTTGCGGTGGGTATCTCTGTGCCCAAATTTCCTGTACTCTGCGAGTGCTAAGAGAATCCTGCGGCATGTTTCTGAAACGCACACGCCGCCCACGCCCAGGGAACCCTGCTGAGTTACAGGTCCCAACGCACATGGTGAAGGGAGCTCGGTCTCCCTCGGTCTCCCTTCCCTGCGGGAGTTGTCCCAAAAAACACGCCGCATTTGGTGCTGCACTTGGCCCCAAAAGTGTTGGAAGGAAAAAAACCCTAAACCCTAAACCCTAAGGTGTCCTTTCATTGGCGCAAACTGGCGTCTGGCCCCACAAGAACATACTGAAGCTCCAAGGTTCAGGCTCTGGTTTCAGGAAATGCACACGGGTAGTTCTCTAAACTAGGGTCCCTTTTGGTGTCCTTTTTTATAAGGGCGCCGTACTATATTGGGGACCCAAAAGGGACCCTAATTTAGAGAACTACCCACATAAGGCCACACAGGCACGCTGCCCGGCCTTGTCTGGGCTCAGGGTGGCGAGCCTCCAGGACCCAGAGCTTGAGGGCGTGCTCAAAACCTAAAATCCTAAAGCTGGGGCTTAAGTGGGATCCCAGGCAAAGGCAGTTGTCCTGAGGTTGCCTTGCTCAATTGCGGTCAGGCTTTTTGGGCCTTCACATGCAGCCATTCTTATCGAACGTCTGGCTTGCCGCTTTAGGGGAAAACCCAGATGTGTTTCGGATTTCGGATGCTGAGTTTCGGGTTGGCTTAGCGCGGGCTTGTCACTTGCCGCAATCTCAATTCCGCGTGGTCATCTTAGTAAACAGCTTGTTCAAGATCTACTTTGCTTGCCTTTTGCCTGGACTGGCCTCGCGCGTACATCCGGCAAACGTAGAGGACGTAAAGACCCAGAGCTGATTCTTGTCTATGTTCTGCTTCGGGTCGGATGGACCGGATGGGTGGGTGCTCTTCGACTACTTGGTCTTGCTGTGCTTGCAAAGTAAGGTCAAGTACAGTTCAACACAGTTGCGAAGTACATGGTTTTAGAAGCTTGCTCTCGACTGCACAGCCATTTGCAAAGCCCAAGCCTAGCCCTACAACGGCTCAGCCAGCATTGGGCCTCAGCCCCAAAGGTAGGTGACCGGCTGGTTGCGGTTGTTTCCTCAGCAGTCATCTCCTGCCGTGGCTTTCCGCACGAAACATGGACACGCATATCATCCAGCAAGCAGCGTCAGGCGAAACATCCACGGCTTGCACGGCAAGGCACAGCATCCAAAACCAAGCTCCGGCCGAGTTGCCGAGGGCCAGCGAGAA